AAAGGAGGGGAAAAATGAGGAGCTGATGCCAGGGGCTTAGGTGGAGAGCAAATGTTTTGAGAATGATGAGGGCAATGAATGTACAAATGTGCTTTGCACAATTGATGTATGTATGGATTGTGATAAGAGTTGTATGAATCGCTAATAAAACGATGAAAAAAAAAGAGCCATTCCCACATCTCTTCTCCAGGTCTCTGTGTGTACATATTAGAAAAATCCATTATTTTAGAGTGCAGTGTACCTCATCCAGGTAGGTCACCCTTTGGACTTCACCTTTTGAGACTTGCTGAAGCTGCAGTCTAGTTAGAGATCTAGAAATAACAATAGTGGCAAGGGTGTTTCCCGGGAGCATTGGAAGATGTCGGCCTTGGGTGATACTCCAGACAATGTCCAGCAGCCGTATTCACAGGCACAGTTGAGTTGACCTTAAATGACCTTGGAAGGGCTAATGGTTTTACTGATGAGGAATTAGCAGGCAAAGATGGAGGCATCTCTTCAGAGGGGAGGGGTGCTGCTGTTGGAAGGAATGATTCCATGGAATTTAGGGGTCCAGGGTTCCTAGCTTCCAGATTGTTTTCCCATATGCCCCCACCCCAAGTTTCAGGAGCCCATTTATTTTCATTAAATGCCCTCACTTTAACATCAGGCAGCACTATTCAAGGTTAGTCATTCCATTGACATTATACTATAACGGTAAGACTGGGGATTTGGTTTTTAACAATATCAGCCCTGTTACCACAAGGAATAGGGCTTTCATTTAAGGCACAAGTTAAAACTTTGAGGCATGTTATGTGGTACTTGAGTCTTGACTCTGAAGCCCTGAGCCCATCTCCTTCCTTTACTACTTCGTCCATGTATGTAGCACTAACCAGCAAGCACCCATAGTTCTCACCCTGATGAAATTGAAGAGAAGTGTCAAATATATGATCACCTGGACTAGAGCCTCAATTTCCATCCATATTTCATCTGTTGGTAGTGACACTTTTGGTATTACTATTGATAACTCATGCCATGAGTTAGCAGTGACCTCTTTATTATTGGAGGCAGAGTGATCTATGGCTTTAAAACGAATTAGACTCGAGGACCAGTTTATAACACTCATCCTTACCATTTTGTTTCTCTAAAATCACTCTCAGATCTGATATATATGTATACTAAAAACCCAAACTCACTGCCATTGAATTGATTCCATCTCATAGCAACCGTATAGGAGAGAGTAGACCTGCCCCCTGTGGGTTTCCAAGCCCGTAACTTCACAGGAGTTGAAAGCCTCCTGTTTATCCAGTAGAGCGGCTGGTGATTTCCAGCCTTGGGGTTTGCAGCCCAGTGTGTAACCTGCTGTGAGAC